CAGTTTAGCGGGTAAGCTAAATTCTGGTACATTAGAAGATAGTTTAACAAAATTAAATGACTGGTTGCTTTCCTCTGACTCCTCACATTCAAAGTTTTAATATAATTTATTGAATAAATCACAGTATTTGACCTTCTGTCATGAAAGATATGCTTTGTTAGCAAGTTGAAATCGTACACAACAGTGGCGTAGCGATATAGGGCAGGGGCCCTGGGCTTTCTGAGGCTGCCCGAAGCCCTTTTTGGTTCACTCTGTTTCCAATTCCATTGTGGGGTTTTAAATGTGCTCGTTTTTTAAAACCTGTTTGTCATTGTATCCTGAATGTTTAACAACAAAATAAATGATATCAGTGGGTAATTATGGAATTTAAAATACAGAGGGCCCAAGGAGCAACTCTTCACAGATGATGGGTCACTATACCACCTCAGCCCCACCATGGTTGGGGGCTGAGGTGGCCAGAAAATTTTGAATATGGCACGTCTGGTGGATGATGGCCGGAAATGACACTCAAATTGGACAAATTTAGGGCATCCCCTTTAATCCACCCTGGATAAAATATGATGCCCTACAGTCGATGTCAGAACAGAATGGTCAGAGACATTATGCTGTGTCAACAAAGCTCCTTTCGGATCATCAGGATCGGGGACCATATGCGAGGGGCTCCTTCGCCTGTGTCCTGTCGCACAGGACACAGGCGTTACGCCACTGATAATATATATTTGTTCACAAGCCACACAAGTACCTCTAAACTAAATACTGTATAATTTACATGGATGGTTAATAATCAAGAACATTACTCTTTAAAAAAGGGTCCCGGGCGCGCGCGGGACGACGACGACAATAATATTAGCAACCGAAATCGAACAATTCACACATTTATAGGTGCACTCCTTCAATATCTTTTTATTTATGCAAGTTAAAATTTTTGCTATGTGTTATCAACCCTATTGGCTACCTTGTTCATGAAGAAGACGACTTCTGGTGATTTAATTTATGAAAATTACTCTTATGCCCCAAAAACAAGTTTTTCAACGATATTGACAAAATGTCTGTTTTTCAGACTTCACTTATGAAAGACAGGTTTATCTTCACAATTTCAAATTTTGCATGTTTGTTACCATGCCAACCAGCTACCCATACACAAAATATGAGTGTATCTAGTTATGTAATTAAGCGGATATTACAATTCAAAAATGGCTCCAGACACCAAAATGTCAAACGTACACAAATAAATTGAAATATTTTCATTTATTCACTTAAGGTAGGATTAATTTTGTTGGTTCAATTTTTTCTGTGTGTTACCAAGCAACTTGACTACTCAAACAAAAATAATGATGACATTTGGATGGTAATTTGAGGAGATATGTCTACCCAAATGTAGCCCCAAACCCAAAAAATTGATGTTTTGGTAGGAGGGGGGCTAAATTTGATGGGTCGTTGTGAAAAACCGTCTTGAGATTTTAAGGAGAACTTTTAGTATAGTGTGCGAACATGTTTAATTAACAATATTTACTACAGTCAACTAAACCCCGACCACGGGAACGAAATTCATTTTCTAGGCCTTTTTCTGATTTTGCAGCCGGTGGCCTATTATCCGTTGAGTACGGTATGTTAGCCACGTTAAAGTACGAACTCAACAAAGTATTTTGAACGTTAATACAAACTCAACAAAAAAGTTATTTAACCAATCAAATATAAAGAGGACAGATTTTCTGTTTAGCACGAAAAATCCCATTCGAATACGACCATTGTGAACATATAAATTTAAAATGGGACCATTCATTCTCCCTATCCTGCAAAAAACAACAAGACAACCTAGTTGTTTGGGCTCCCAAATTTCATTTTAAAAGGGGCATCGCCCTTAAGGTAAAAAAATTCCTAAGGCCTTTTTTCAAATGCTGGTAGTCAGTGTACTGTCAAGTCAAGTGTTGCTCAAATTAAGAGGTTTGGTGGTACACTCTCAATGAAGAAGCAAGTGAAATTTTCAATAAAACTTTTCAGTCAGTGTTTACTCAAGAAAATCTTAATGTCGATGTTCCTAAACCAGATTTTACTTTCGCTGGTCCTCCACTTGAGAATATTGATTTTTCACCTGATGATATCGCTAATGCTTTAAGGCAGCTGAATGGCAATTCCTCTTCTGGTGTAGAATGTGTAAATTCGCTAACTTTACCACTGTTTTTAATTTTCAAGAAATCATTGGAATCTGGTCAGTTACCGGCCATCTGGAAAGATGGCATAGTAACACTAATATTTAAAGGAGGTTCTTTGCTGCATGATCCATTTAACTATCGCCCAATTAGTTTGACATCAGTTGTTTGTAAATTGTTTGAAAAACTTATTCGTAATGCTGTGGTTAACCTTAAAAACAATCTATGCTACCATTTTTGCTGTGAACAACAGCAAAATGGTAGCATAGATTGTTTTACGATTCAATTAAAAAAAAAAAACACTACACATTGCAGTTCACTTCTCTGTACTACTTACTGTGTTGCTGTGTCGAGCTAAGGTTCTGGTAGGAAAAAAAACGACCTCCTGTGAACTCCAAAAGTAGGAGTATAACAGGAGGGGTAGACATAAGGTAAATGATAGGAAACGGGTCGACCACCGCTGTTTAAGACGCGTAGCATCTGCCATGTTGCTGCTGCAACTAATATCACGGAAGATGACACAATACTTAAACCAATTCATTTTGGCATTCTTATTCTTTACGACTACATACATTCTGTAATGCTGCATCAATAATTCAGGTTGAATTTATTCAATTTTTTAGTTTCATTTAATTTGTATTATTTGCAACTCTTGCATCATTGATATTTTTAATATTATGCCCTTACATTATCGTAACTTAATCATAATAATAAAATTACAATACATTATAAATAAATTGCTTTATACTTTCTTAAAACCACAGTCAGAGGAAACAGGAGCTAAATTTCACATGGATACCGTAAATGCTCGAATAAGCAAAATTATTATTATTATTATTATTATTATTATTATTATTATTATTATTATTATTATTATTATCATTATTATTATTATAAATATTTTTGTTGTCCTTACAATGCTCTAATTGATAATACATTTTTTTTTATAAGAACACATTTTATAAGAACAATAATGCTCAAATTGCTTAAAAATTAATAACAAAATAAGAACAAATTGAGGCTGAGGTAAAATGTTAATGGAGGTTTTTATTTTGTTTTAATAGAAAAACCAAAACATTATATTTGTACCTTGTGCAGTAGGCGTGACTATGTAATACCCTCTATAATCAGTGGGTGTACTGTCTTTTGGGGCTATTTTTCTGGGGCCAATTTTTTTCCGGGGCCTTTTTATCAGGGCTAATATTTTTTCCGAGCCAATCCTACCTACATTCCAGTACAGTAGTATGCTGCTGTACATTAATATTTTTGAAAATAGTGTAAAATAAAAACAAAATAAGAACATTTTGAGCCTGAATCGCGGCCAAAAAATAGGAGCACTGAGCCTGGGCAAAATTTTAGTGGTTCGTATAAAAAAAAGTGTATCCATTATAGTTGAAGGAAAAGTACTAGCTGTTTCCATTAAAAGTACAAGTTTATTGAGAGCCTACATCACATTGATTAGAGCACACAAAAGGTTGATTACTCGTTTCAATAGTTACTATTTTGATACGTCTGTGATGCTGTAGGACTGCAGGACAAAACGTCACATTTCATTGTCGAATACACCGGGACAAAACACATTTATCACATATCTCCTGATTGGTTATAGGCCTAACAATACATAATGTCTTGTTCCTGCCTCCTCTCCACTCTACTTGATTAAGGATTTTTTTTTCTATGGCTTGTTTTGGAAAACGTCTAGGTTCTAGTGTATTGGGACGAACATTAGGAGATTTATTTGTAAGTTTTAGTTATATTTAATTGTTTTTTTTTTCATCTTGCACGGAGACGACGTCGTATAACAATAGCTTGCTTATGCTGTTGATCATAGAAAACATAGCTTAGGTCAATATAGTATTCTAGTCCTCCGTTAACGTTGTTTTGACAACGACACGCTTGTAATAATAGTAATATTGTATTTCCACATTGGTCAGTAAACAACTCCCTGGAACAGGAAAAAAAATACATTAATGTTTACTAAATTTTAGCCTTGAAATATGTATAATGCTCTAGGCTGATTTGACTTTGACCTTTTTTTTTCTGATTATATTATTTTTCAGTTTCAATTGTTGCATATTGTCTTATCCGGTAAAATAACTATAGACCTATGCTATTGGCCGTTTGGTAGTATTTTAGCATACTGGCAATCTCGAATTTACTATTGTTCATAACATTGTCATGTCTCAAAACTGTAGTGTATATATACTGTATATATATATCTAGGCTTTGATGATCTATATTATATATATATATATATACAAATATATATACAAACAAATACATAAATAATAATAATAACAGTGCTCAAATAGGAACATGTTGTAATAATCGTACCAAGCATCATCAACGAAAATGTCCTTTTACTGCAAAAAAAGTGTTTCTGGAGGGAATCGAGTCTGCAACCTCTCGTTCTGTCATGGCGAGTATCTTATCCATATATAGGCTATTATGTGTATATTGTATACGTGTGGGGGTGAGTGTGTGTGTGTGTGGTGTGCGTGTGTGTGTGCATGACATTGGTCTCGTCAAAATCTCCTTAAAAATTCAGCCTTTGATTTCCTTGATTTATAACATTTTAGGTTTGCTGATTCCCGTTCAGTTTACGGATAACAAGCTACTTATATAATTGTATATGCCTACTTGTTAATGTTTCGATACACTGCTTAAACTTACCGTGTGTATTTTAAGTTATGATCTGATTTATAATCGACAATTTGTTTTGAATAAGCAATAATGAACTACGACCCATCCGCTCACTATATACAGTGTTTAAATAGGATGATAGATCTGGGTTTAGGTAAGTACGGGCAGTGTAGCCCGCGCAAATCACTTCGGCTAGGGACCTACGAGCCCGTTCAATAGGCATGTAAAATTAAAATAAATGTTTCCTACTCAATAGGCATGTAAAATTAAAATAAATGTTTCCTACTTAATCTTTAATAAAAAAATAAATAAAAAATTAACCATAAAACAAACCTGAATAGATTTTAGATGGGATAATTATTTATTATTGTGTTCTACAAAAGAGATGTCATAAATCATATAAATTGTTGAAAAATTACTTTGTGTGACAACTTTTTGCATTGACACGGGCTACGGGCCTCGGTGGTTTAGGTTATGTGTGCCACGGTCTCGGCATGATCGTCACATAGGAATTCGTTTGTACAAAATGCCATTCATTTTGAAACATCGCACGGTTCGCCGTTAACCATTTTATAGTAGGCCTATTATAAACTTTTTATAGGCCTACTTAAATTTTAAAGTAACTCATGTAAGCATTATTTTGTGTGTGTGTGATTTTATGAGTCTTTCACTTAAATTGAATGTTTGAAATGCAAGAACCGAAAGGTCCACTGATTAATTTCAGATAAGATAAGTATAATACATACTCCAAGTATCGAAATGCACGATAGTGTGCATTTCAATACTTGGAGTATGTATTATACTTTCTGATGAAATGCAAGAAGAGATATACTATTTTTAATTTTATTTTTATTGATGAATATTTTAATAGGCACTACGTTTCCTATTAAGTTTCATTTATACATGCAGTGGCATAACAGGCGGGGCAGGGGGCAGACTGCCACCTACCCCCAACCGACGGTTTTTACCGGGCTGACCAAGCCGTCGTACCAAGCTGGGTAATAAGAGAAAAGAAAGAGGGGAGAGTGAGGGAAAAAGAAAGAAGGGGAAAAGAAAAGGAAAGGAAAAGAAAAATAGAAGAGAAAAATAAAGACAAGAATAAAAAGGAAGATATCATAATGACCAGACTCACAACACCCTGCAACCCTTTCTCCACTTCAAAAAGTGTCCATAGCAACATACGCTTGGAATTTCAATTACAGTCATTGGATTAGATTTATTCGGTGTAAACACCGAATAGAAGAAGACTTATTTCCAGTGGGGTCCTTCTGGTGGTAATTGGGCAGTGCACCGGGAGACATTCCCTACTCTTTTCCGAAGAGTGTACTGCGTTCTTTAACGTGCACATGGACCATCAACGCACACGGGACTAACGGCTTAAACGTCTCATCCGAAAGACGGTGCTCTACTATAACTTGTATAGCAGAGGCAGCAATGGGAATAATACCGGGGACCAGAGATCTCCATGGTTCAGCGCACACACAGTGGCTATACCACCAGATTAGCCGACTGAGCTAAGCTGCTCTCATAGTTCGAGTCTCACTGGTTTTCATGTTATATTCATAATTTACTTTAGCATGATTTCATTTTTGCTTTCGTGTGTTTCTTACTTTATACTTTTTTAATGATTTTTTTTATTTGTTTGTTGTTTTTTTTAAATAAATTTAACAGAACTACTCATATGGATGGCAATGAGGAAAAGCCATAGGCCTATCTGTTGTACAACAGACATAGTTTGTCTAGTTATTATTAATATTATTGTTGTCCTTACCGTGATCTAATTGACTACTATCCATAATAGTTAGGGGCATAATACTGTTTCCATAACGTTTTATTGAGGTCGCACATTGAATATAGACACAAAAGGTTGACAACTCATTCAAGACTTACTATTTTATTGCGTCTCACTGTGGTACTAGGACGTTATACGTTGTTATATTGTCGAATACACTGGAACAAATCACATATGAATCTGATTGACTAGGCCTAGCGATACATCACCGTATTTCGTGTTCCCGCCTCCCCTCATCAACTAAATATATTTGACTACAGATTATTTTTTTTTTGGCTTGTTTTTGAAAGCGACTTATATAGTGTATTGGAACGAACACTAGGATATTTATTGTTAACTTTTAGTTGTATGTATTTATTTTCTTTACCTCGCAAGGATACCCTTGCAACAATTTGCTACAAGTAGATCGTGAAAATATGACAGGCCAATAGTAACTAGTCTTCTGTAACGTTCGTTTTGACCACGAAGCTTTAGTTGTACTGTACCATATTCCCACGCTGGTCAGTGAACAAATGTATTGATGTTTACTAAAACTTAGCCAAACTAGACAAATGATAGGCCTACTCAGCTAGACATAGGCCAATTTGACTTCGACTTATAGCTACTGAAAGGATACTACTACTGGCCGGTTATAGGCATATTTTAAGTTGAATTGAACTTTTATTGCTGCGGTACATTTTGTCTGTGGTTAAAGAATATACGGTATGTTTGGTAGTATTTTAGCATAGTAATCTTAAGTTAATCATTGTTCATTGACATACGGTAATACATTGGCTGATTACTCTATTGATGAATAGCGCCTGGTGATTGAGGAATAGCGCCTTTTTAGAGGTCCCTTTTAAATGTAAAAACCCGATTTTCCCCCGAAGTCTAATATAATGTTATAACCATAAATCGTCAATAACTCATTTGATAATTATTACGACTAAAACTATTTAAACATTTGCACAATGTCAGAATCAACTTATTTACGGTATTTGGCTATTCATGGAGTACTCCGGGTCAACGCTTACCGGTACCGTAGCTTATAACAAAAGCACGTCGTTATGGTTTTGTTCTGTATGGTGGTATGTTGCATAGTTATGGTTATAATAACAATAGGTCTGAGAATTTAGAGAATAACGATTACATATAGTGATGTAGCGCATTGTGAGCTAAGTATATTATAATAATTCATTCATTTAATTATTGATCGGGACTCACATAATCCTACATCGAAAAACGCAATGCGACTGTTCGAATTTCAATAGTCAATTTTCTATATTCCCTTCCATTTCTTCTACAAAAACAAATTTACAATGGTGATAATTAACATACTGTATGTATATACATAAATAATAGACTAGGTTATAACCATATCAAACCCTTATATAACTTGATAACTTCATACTCTAGATGAATGATAATCATTAACTGATAAGCAGCTTTTTTATTGAATATATACAACAGTATACTGTATATATATATATAT